CCCGTTGGTGGAAGGGTGGAAGGGAGCAGAAGTGGCATGGCGAATCATGTTGGCCTGTAAGAAAGCTTGGAATTCGGAAGAAGTGAATTGCAGGCCATTGTCAGACACCAAAACATCCGGAAGCCCATGTGCAGCAAAAATTCCCCGCAGTACTTGGATAGTCTTTGCAGTGGTAGTGGACGAGACAGGTACAATCTCAAGCCATTTTGAATAGCTATCAACCAGGACCAAGAATAATTGACCCTGAAAGGGCCCAGCGTAGTCAATGTGCACCCTAGACCATGGGGACTGTGTTTCCTCCCACCTATGTATGGGAGCCTGAGGCATTTCTGGGCGTGAGCGTTGACAAAAGTGACAAGCATGCACCTTAGCCTTAATTTCCTTGTCTAACCCAGGCCACCACAAGTGGCTGCACGCAAGCGCCTTCATTCGAACAATGCCAGGATGACCCTCGTGAAGGGACCCTAAGACTCTAGATCTCATTGAGGTAGGAATGACAACTCTGCTACCCCACAGCAGACAGCCCTGGAAGGTGGACAACTCGTTCCTTTTTAACCAGAAACTCTGAAACTCAATACCTGGACAACTCTCTGGCCATCCAGACAAAACCCAGGATAAGACTTGAGAGAGTGTAAGATCCGTTGCTGATTCAGCAGCCACATCCCTGGCGTTAAGGGGTGACTCAGGCAGTGCTTGAATTGAAAGAATATTGATTGCCGGGGCAGGGTCAGCCTCAACTACCTGTAAGGGTAATCTACTGAGGCCATCAGCATGGCCCATTTCTTTGCCCGGTTTGTGAATTAAAGAAAAATCATAAGCTGACAGGAAGATTGACCATCTGAGCATCCTGGGAGAGATAATGTGAGGGGTCTGTTTGTTAGTTGTAAACAATCCCAACATAGGCTTATGGTCAGTGTAGACCGTGAAATGTCTGCCATATAAAAAAATCATGGAATTTTTTGATTCCAGAAACAACAGCTAAGGCCTCCCTGTCTATCTGGGCATAATTCCTCTCAGCAGAGGATAAAGTTCTCGAGTAATATGCAACAGGAACCTGAGTTCCATCAGGTGTGAGATGGCTGAGTACAGCTCCTACGCCATAAGGGGAAGCATCACAAGCAATGCACACAGGGAGTGTTTCATTAAAATGTGCAAGCACATTGTTAGATGTTAGCAAGGCCTTAACCTTATTGAAGCTTGCTTCGTGTGCTTGTGACCATTCCCACACAGCTTGTTTGTCAAGAAGCCTATGAAGTGGTTCAGCTACATCAGCCTTGTTAGGAATAAATGAATTGTAGAAATTCAAAAGTCCCAGAAAAGCTTGCAGTTCAGCTTTGGACTTAGGTCTGGGAGCTTGTGTGATAGCTTTTAATTTGGACTCAGCAGGATGAATCCCATTGGCATCAATTCTGAACCCCAGAAAATCTGTAGAAGACACCCCAATTTTACATTTGTCTTTTTTGAGTTTGAGTCCTGTTTTCCGAAACCTCAGCAGGACAGCCCTCAATCTTTCAGCCAGATTTTGGATAGACTCTCCAGCAATTAAGACATCATCAAAATAGGGGCAAATCCCTGGAATACCCCTCAAGGTATTTTCCATTACTCTTTGGAAAATTCCAGGAGCTACATTTATTCCAAATTGCAGTCTCTTGACCTTGAATGCCCCCCTATGAGTTACAATGGTTTGTGCCACAGCAGCAGCTTCGTCCAGAGGCAACTGCTGGTAAGCCTGAGCTAAATCAAGCTTTGCAAAAATACGCCCCCCTTTGAGGGAAGCCAGAATGTGGCTGACAATAGGCACAGGATAGGCATGTTGTTGTAATGCCTTATTGAGCGTGCATTTGTAATCTGCACAAATGCGAATATCCCCATTAGCCTTAAGAGGCGTTACTATGGGAGTTTCCCATGGACTGGAGTCAACAGGTTCTAAGACTCCTTGCTGAATCAATTTGTCCAATTCAGCATCAATTTTCCCTTTTAAGGCAAATGGTACCCTTCTTGCCTTTACTCTGATAGAAGTGACAGTGGGGTCTAATTTCAAAGACACTGGGGGACCCTTGTATGTGCCCAACTGAGGGCTGAATACATCTGCAAATTCCTTGCAGACTTCCTGTAAGTCTAACATTTGCAAGCTGTTGAGCCCTGTAACTTGTATTCCCAGGGCCTCAAACTAATCGAGTCCTATGAGACTCGTACGATCACCCCCCACTACCAATACATCTAATGGACCTTCAAAATCCTTATACTGCACGTTAAGGGTGGCCTCCCCCTTAACACACACTTTGGAGTTTTGAAAGTCTGTTAGTACTATGTTAGAAGGCCTAAGTTTGGCCTGGAAACCACTGCCAGAACAAATCTTTCTGAATGTGTGAATGGAGATGATTGAAAGTACAGACCCAGTGTCTAGTTCCATGACCAATGGAACTCCTTGCAATTTCACCCTAAGTGACAGCTTCTTTTTAAGTGGTCTGTGTGTGCCTGTCTTAAAAATGCTTCTTCATGAAGCACAGAAACCCACCCTGTTTTGGCTGGGGACCCTGGTACCTTTCAGGCGCAATTCTTCTCGGGGTTGTACCTTCTGTTGGCCCAGACACACAGCTGCTATGTGGCCTTGCTTCCCACATGCTCTACAGATTGCAGAACGGAACTTGCAGTCGGTCCTCTTGTGGCGACCTCCACACCCGAAGCACTTGGGTACAGGTGAAGACTTTTCTTTGCCTTCCCTCTGCTTTCCTTCTTTGGTTGGGTAGAGATGATCTATTTCTTCATCAGGCTCCTCTTCTGAGCTTCCTTGAACTCCCTCGTGATGCACGGAAACAGCTTCTGAAAAGCTTTTGATGGGCCTCATATTCTTGATTGCCCCACTTGCTGCCTCTTCTGCAGTAACCTCTCTCAAGGCATCTTGGAATGATATGTCCTCTTTGGCAAAAAGCCTTTGTTGTACATCTCTGTTTCTCAGTCCACATACAAATCTGTCTCTCAGTCTTTCCTCTAAGTCTTTAAATTCGCAATGCTTAGCTGCCCTTCTTATTGCAGCAATGTACTCTTTAGCTGATTCACCAGCCCGTTGATCCCGCTGTTCAAAATTATGTCTCCAAGCAATAACAGACAACTTGGGTTGAAAATGCTCTTTCAGTAATTTCTTAAGATCTGTATAGGTAACAGATTCAAGAGGTGCAGGGGCTACTAAGTTTTCAGCAATTTCAAATGCATCTTGACCATAAACACAGAATAGGGTGGCGGCCTTTAAGCCCTCTTCTCTTACTTGATTAACTCTGAAATAATTTTCTGCTTGGGCCACGTAAGATTCCCATCTTTCAGGATGTGTAATATCAAACTCTGAAAGTTTTCCAATCTTTGCCATTTTACTAAAGCAGGAAGTGTCTATCAGCCAGCTTACCTCCAACGAAGCTGTATTGGCAGGCAGTTGCTGAATTTAACGCCGTTTCCTCGCTGTGCTGGACTCCAGGGTAAGCTTACAATTGTTTGTGTAATTGCAAGGCCATCCCACCTTCGTCGCCAGTGTTGAGTCCTCGGCTAATGGCAATGATGACGCAAGACATTCTTGATGTTCAGTAACCTTCTTTATTTCTCTTCAGCAGCCCCGTTACAACTCAAGGCAGCACGGACTTCTCAGCCTCTCTTAAGGACCTTTTTCCCCGGGCCAAAAGGCAACATTTAGGCGCGCGAAGCGCCTCGCGCATGCGCGTGAGCGCTGGCGCCAACCAGTCTGGTCCCGGGCAACTTGCAGCTGCCCGGGAACGTTGCAACGTCCGAGCCTGCCCTTTTGCAGGCTCAGGACATAACAGGTGTTAAATATGATTTTGAGCTAGTTCTCTCTCTTCCTCCACATCAACTAGCTTCCTTTCCTTCATTATGTCCTGACCTTTAGCATTTAACTAGAACCCAGTGACAATAGTTTTACTGAAAAATCTTTCCACCTCTTCCCAACATCTTTTTTTTATTATTATTATAATTTTTTACAATTTTACAATAAAAACCCCTTTCCCAATCCCTCCCAACCCTCCCCAAAACCCTCCCCCATTCTTCCCAGAGCTGAATACAGAGTTAACTAGAACTTAAAAGAGAAAACCTATAAACTCAAATAAACATCAAACAAATATAATTACATTCAAAAACCAAATTGTTAAATACATTAACTCCATTATATATAAAAAACAGAAAGAGAAAAAGAAGAAAAGAAAGAAAATAAGAAAAAGAAGAAAAAGAAGAAAAAAAGAAAAAAACTAAACTATTCTACACTTCTAAATAATATCTTAAACTTTAAATATAAATTATTCAAAAGCTAAATAATAGTTTCTAATATCATACCTATATTGTATAAAATTTATCCATCTTTTCCACACCAAGAGATACTTCTCTTGCGATTGATCTTTCAAAAAAGCCGAAATTTTTGCCATTTCAGATAAGTAAGAAATTTTAAGAAACCATTCCTGCAAAGTAGGCAAAAATTCCTTCTTCCAATATTGTCCTATTAACAACCTTGCCGCTGTAATTAAGTTTAACATTAAGATAATTTCTTTGTCATCACAATCAGAAACAATACCCAACAAAAACAATTGTGGAGTAAATTTTATCCTTCTTTTGAAAATTCTTTGAATATTCCACCAAAAAGCTTTTATACTTTTACATGACCACCAGATATGATAATACGTTGTATCCAAGCAACCACACCTCCAACATTTAGGCTGCAAATTTGGATACATACGAGACATTTTTTGTGGATCAAGGTGCCATATCTCTTCCCAACATCTGTACTTATAGTTATCTACTACCCATTTTAGAAGATCCTGTTTCCTGTGTTCTGAAATCAGTCTTTCAACCAAGTTTAGTTTCTCTTAAGTATTATGCCCTCCTTCCTCTCACTTGGGCCTATTTAAGTCCTGCATGCACCTTTCCATGCTGCCATTCCATCAAGACAGGAAAGTAAAACAGACTTTCCATGCATACTGAGGAGGAATAGTGCGACAAGCTTGTACCTTTTCGAAGATCTTTGTTTTTCCATCACACAGTTGGAACAAGAATTCTACTTTGGCCTCTTGCTACTTTATGCCTTCCATACCGTGACAGCATCTGGTGCTTCACTGTGGTAGTCACAGTCTGTTTGCAGCCCTACTAGGAAATGAAAGAAAATGGGGAAGAGGGAGGAGAGAGGAGGGGAGGGGAGGAACACCACTTCTAAATGTGCCCTTCAACTCATGGCAATTCTCCAAGACATCTATCACCACCCAATTGCTTGAGGGCCTTTAAACAGAGTTGATTTCAGGCTGAGACCTTATTTATATAATTCCGGAGCTCTGGAAAGACTCAATACTCCCAAGGCCTTAGGAGTGGAAAATCTACTTCTGATGTTTCTTCTCATTTCTTTCTTTTTTCACCCCATGGCTTTCTTTTATTCTCTTCTTTGTTTGAAGGAGTTGCAGGCTGCCCATTACTTAATAAAAAATAAAAGCCTTTTGTATTGTCACTACCTTAATTAAGCACATCAGGACTGTAGCTACAAGCCTACTACAGTATTTTATGAAGATTGTTAGCATCTCATTTCACCTTTAGTTAAACATTTTTAATTGAGAGTTTCAAAGCCAAGTTCTTACAAATCCTTCAAAGAATATTGGTACTTGCCATCGATTGTGCATCAGCACAATTGATCCATCTGTTTATTAATAGTGGGCAGTGACTATTGGAAAGTTGCCATATTATGTTTCTCTGTTTATCAAAGAATCTTACTGTTTAAATGCCATTTAAGGGTTGGATGCACTTGGTACTTTTAAGAGGCAACCTGTAGCTTCCAACACTTCTGAAAATGCTACCAGGGAAGGTTACCCTCAGTATATCTTCTCTGAATTTAACAGAGGGGTGAGAATATAGAAAATAGAATCATAGGAATGGAAGGGACTTTGGAGCTCTTCTAATCTAATTTGGCGCAATAAAGAATAGAACAGAACAGAACAGAACAGAACAGAACAGAACAGAACAGAACAGAACAGAACAGAACAGAATAGAATAGAATAGAATAGAATAGAATAGACCTTGGAGGTCTTCTAGTCCAACCTTCTGCTTAGGCAGGAAACCCTGACCTATACCATTTCAGACAAATAGTTGTCCAATGTTTTCTCCCTGCTCAAGGCAGGATATCTTATAGCATCCTGATCAGATGGTTATGTATTCTTTAAAAACTCCAGCAATAGAACACCTGCCAAAAAATTCTCCTTATTCTAAGTTGGATCTCGCTTTTACAATCTTCCACCCATGACTTCTTGTCCTGTCCTCCAGTGCTTTGAAGAATAAGTCAATCCTCTCTTCCCTGTGACTGCAGATAGCAGTTAAATATGTGGGAACTACTTGAAGCAGCTAAATAGTCGTTCTTCAACTTCTTTGCAGTGGTGGCATTTGCTATCTGTTGTTTTTTTTTTCAATTCTGGCTTTATATACATTTGTTCTTATGGTCTTTATGCAGCCAGAGTTGTCTCGAACTGCCAAATGAGTGGCATATACATTTAATAAAATAAACAAACAAAAAAACAGAAAAAAATGTATATTATCTCCTTTGCCTCTTCTTCAACATTCCTGTTCTTAGGCATTGCCAGTTCTTGTTGTTATCTGCTTTGCCTTTTTTTTTAATGTACTTGCCATATAATACTTTGCCTTGCCATGATTCTTTTCTATAGTTCATTTGGTTTTTCTTGCAGGCCAATTTAGTCTCATGGAATACTACAGTAGCTTCTGTGTCTCTGCTTCACTGTCTTTCAGATATTCTTTCAGTGTTCTTTTTATTTCTTCAGTTGTCTGATGCAACATTGCAACACTGCAACATTTCACGTCCATCTACTTTCCTTGGTAAACAGAGTCTATCAACATCACTGCATGGATAAAAGACATGATTCATTGCCATTACTTTTCTGATCTTTCTGTCTAGGATTTCTACTTGGGCTTCAGTTTAGTCCACTATTCCATCTGCATATCTAATGACAGGAATTGCCCAGGTGTTGATCACATTGATGGTATTACTTTAACATCTTCTTCACTCTTCTGATGTGTTCATCACAAACCTTCTTCTTGGCTTCAATATGCATGAGGTTGTCAGCACATTGCAGTACTCCAGTTGTGAAGTGATCAAGGCATAAATAACAGTCTGAATGGCCTCCTGGCTTCCTGAGGCATAAAGGCCCTCCTTCCTACAGCTGACTCCTGCCCTTCCATCAATAAATAATTTTTAAAAAACCCACCCAAAGTTAAAGAATGGGGCAAATAACTCTAAACACAGCGCTCCTTATTACATAATTTTTAACCAGCTTCTGGACAAACAAGAACCAGTTCCAGATAAGCAGGAACAATGACGAAAGATTGAAATGAACTGAAGAGTGGACTGAAACAATTCTCCATTCAAAGAGCAATCAAGGAAGTAACAGTGCCCTCTTCAAGACTAGTAGCACAAACTGCCACATATAAGCAGCCAGCAATCTCCATGTCCTGATGACACACTGATCTTGGCAAGAAGAAAAGCAAGCTGTCAGAACATCAAAGACCCCACTCCCCCCAAAAAATCAGAATAGACCAACAGGGAAACCAATAGATAGAACAAGAGACCGATTGTGTGTCCAATCCAGTCTCCCAAATACTAGATGGGGCAGCAACATTTGTATTTCTCATGCTAGCATTATTATTACATTATTACGATCACCTCATCGCCATCCTTGAGGCTTGGAGGACTCAACACCACAATGTTCACCTCCTTTGTCCTTCTCAATGTGTGCAGTTCTATCTTAAAATAAAAATAAAATTAAAAAGTTAATGGAGAAGGCAAACAACAACATAAGAAAAATGAGGAGGATAAAAAGCTTGTATAATTGTGGTCTCTTAAAGATTACTTAAAACATTCACCCTGTTCTGTTGATAACTCCTCATCTTGGCCCCTTTCCATCTCTCCAAAAAAGATTAAAGCATATCATTTCTCTCAACACATGAAAGTCATGCTAGATATAGTGCTGAGATAAATGGTGACAAAGCACAGGAGAAGCCCTTATTGGAAGGTCAGGGTGGAAGAAAGAGGATAAGGATAAGGTTTTTCAAGGAACACAGCAGGTATGAGAATGATATAACATCACTGGAGAGCAAAGGACTGGCATCTTCTGCATTTTGATTTTGAGGGAAGAATGTTTTTATTTTATTTTATTTTTATTTATTATTTATTTATTTTGAAAAAGTTAAGCAAATCACTATGTGGGAACTGATTTTCAAAATATCAATTGATGAATACACTCATGATACCTGGGAAGTGGAGATGGCTGTGTTAGATTGTGGTTTGTGGCTTATAGATCACAGATTGGCCACCTCTGTCATAATCTAGCACAGACGTATTGCATTCAACGTCTGCATGTATTACTTTTCAAAAACATCAGCATGATTAGACAAGTCAGTTAATGGAAAAACTGCATTAATTACAAGGTTTCTGAAAGGTTTTCAGGCAATTAGTTAATATGGGAGTAAAGCAAAAAAGTGGATAATATTGACAGAATGTTCTGCATTTCAGATCCCCCGCCCCAGGCTGGAAATATTGTATGTGTTTTCAGAAATATCAAGACAAAAGGATGTTTCTTATTTCAAATATCTCCTCAGGTAATTATAGACATACAGAGAATACAGACTGCATAACAAACTGAATAAACAGAAGCTATCAGAGTTCTCCATCAGCTTCTCTACTTGTTCAAATCAGATCTAAGATAGAATAAAAATTATTCTTCGGTTACAAAGACATTAATAATACTGTTCAGGTCTTTATAAGTTACCTGGAAGATAGAGAGAAGGGAGATCTGTATCAGATTTGCAAATGATAGTAAACTAGGACGATTGGACAAAATTATCAATCAAAATGACCTTGACAGGCTGAAACATTGGATCAAATATAACAGGATAATATTCAACAGTGAGAAGTGAAAAACCCTGTGCCTGTGTAGGAAAAATCAAAAGGCACAGGCATAGTTTCTTGAGGGTTTAGCAGCTAAAAATGTACAGAACTGAGAATGGTGCAATAGCTAAACAGGCCAATGTAATGTGTTAAACACACTCTCTCTCTCCAGCATTTTTATACTGCCACAATTATGCACCTCTAGTGGCTTATGATTCAAATAAAAAGGATATATTATAGCCCATTGCTGATTGGATACGAAATGAATCATAGCTTCCAAAGATCATATATAAAAGCCTTCCAAAAGATGACTTAAGGGGGGCAGGAGGGAGGGAGGGAGGGAGGGAGAGAGAGAGAGAGAGAGAGAGAGAGAGAGAGAGAGAGAGAGCATTAGACAGACGGACAGACAGACAGACAGACACAAAGACAAATTCCAGAAGGCTGGTGTAGCAAGAAAGAAGCTTTTCCAGGCTCTTCCAACCTTCTAGAATATTTTTCCCCAAACTTCAAGCTGCCTAGAATAATGATTGATTCTGCATTTTGTAAATATATTACAGAATGTAATTATAGATTATCACTGAACTTTCTATATTGCAGACATAATGATGCTATGTTTGTTCCTCTCCAGGACAACAAAAACATATCCTGCAATGTCATTGTTGCCTGATTAAAAAACGCGTTGAAGACTACTGATTTCCCACAAGGTAAAATTGAATAGAAGTTACTTTTGAACATACCATTCAGATTTCATAAGTGACTTCATAACATAGCCTCAACCTTTTTTTTTCCTAATTCAAGGAGGGAATGCAGAAGTTGCAGAGGACAACAAGAACATTTTACTCATTTTGCATCTTTAACTCATCAGTCAAATATTTGTATCCTCCGAACATCAAAGCTCAGTATAGTTTCACAGAAATGAAATTTCCCTCTAGGTCTTTTTGAAGTAACATTTCACTTACCTGAGATTTATTCATTTCTTAGTTTTACAGTTTGATTGTTTTAATTCTCCAAGTGCAATATGTTCTCATATAAGTTCAACCATTCATGTAGAAATGATGTATAGAGACTCTAAATGCCAATTTGCTTTGGGTGTATATAAAAGAGAGAGAAAACAAGATTTAACAAAAATGAGTAATGGGCAGATTTCTTTAGGTATCATTTAAAACAGGGGTCCCCAACCCCTGGTCCATGGACCGGTACCGAGCCACAGCATGCCAGCAACTGGGCCACACAAACAAGCAAAGCCCCATCCGTGAGATGTAGTCAGCACACAAAACCACACCCCCTTCGGTCTGTGAAAAAAACCTCTGTCCACGTAATCAGACCCTGGTGCCCCAAAGGTTGGGGACCTCTGATTTAAAGTACTTAAATCACATCATTCACTTGGCTGCCCAAAAAAAGAATTATCAAAACATCATAAAAGGCAGCAGCTGTAAGAGTCCAGTTGCAAAGGCAAGACACTTATTTATTATGTTCATATCCTTCTAAAAATTCCTTATAAAATTATAGAAGAATATTTTAATTTTCCTTTCAGGCACTGACCTGAAATGCTTAGTTTCAATTCAGCAACTGCATTAGGGAGACCAAGTCCTGGTTTTACCTGACCTTAAGACAGAATTGTAGCTACTAATTGAGTCTCAACTGCAGTAAAACTGCAACTATAGGATTAAGCATTAAGAATGGCTATCATGGATCATTACCTTCCAGTGCTGAAGGGGCTTGTACATTCCAATATCGCTATGTACCATAACACTGAAGTACGAGCTGGATGGGAGGATCAGGTTAAATAGTGTCTGCTGGAGAAGGTAATGGCTATCCATTCCTATATTCTGCCAAGACAACCAAAAGAGACAATGTCAACAGGATTTGGGAAGTGAGCCCCCAGCTTAGAAGGAACCCAATCAGCTACTGACAAATGGGGATGCTAGCCATTCAATCATGTCCAATTCTCAGTAACTCTGTGGGCCAGCTCTCTACATTTTCTGATTATGCAAGAGTTCTTTCAGTTATTTTATGCTTTTTCTAGTGTCAGTTTTAGCTATTCACTGTGTTTTTACTGATGGTCACACTTCCTTTTTTTCCTAGAGAAAAACAGGGAGTCAATATAGGTCATTTTTGACCTATATCCACAATGAGGACCAGAATTTTTGTTGCTAAATAGCGCAATTTTTAAGTGAGATGAATTTGATTTGCGGTCTTTTTTGCCTTGGTTAAGCCTATCACTACAATGGTTGTAACTGCAAAGACTGATCATAAGTAACTTTCTTCAGCACTATTGTAATTTTGAATGATCGCTAAACAAATGGTTGTAAGTGAAGAACAACAAATGATATTGGTGCTTATAATGTGGCTGGGTTCAAGCTGGAAGAACATCCAGCTGCAGCTATGCCCAAAGTCAAAAAGGAATTTTGATGCTGCAAAGATAAGTATACCATTAACATATGGAATGTCAAAACCAGAACCAAGGCATAATCAAAATTGCCAAAACAGAAATGTCAAAATTGAACAGTGACATTTGGGAATCAACACTGAGTGGAATGGCTCAGTTCACAGCAGAGGAGCATAGCTTTCCCAGTTTAAAAGAAGCCAAAAAAAAGGGGGGGGATTTTTCAACCTAGACTACTTAATGAATGGTATCTAGGACTTTCAGATTCATCATTTTTAAATGCTTAATAATGTTAAAGAGAAAATGGTATAGCTTATATTTTGATATAGATCCTTGTTTCTATGGCCTAGTCACTATTATAAACATGAGAGACCTTCCTCATAATTCCAGTCCTTATAGATGTTCATTGGGGTCAACCAGAAAGATGTCATTTTTGGTTGTGGTGCCCCATTTTGAAATAAAAGTCAACTTCACTAATTTGAAATAAAAATCAACTTCACTGATTTGAAATAAAAGTTAACTTCACTGAAAAAACTTAAAGCTTTTTTTTATTTGCCATTGGATGTCACAACTTTGTTTTAATCAAAGCTTTACTAATTGTGCTAAATTATATTTATTTTTACTCATAACAAAGTCTTTATAGTTTTATTATACTCTACTACTTGATTATATTGTTGAAAGAAAAATCTTCATTGGGGTCCAGTCCAAACTGGGAATAAACAAAATGGAGACTGCTTTAGAAAGAAAGTTATAATTTATTGAATAGCAGAGCCAGGTAGAAGCATGGCTCTGGGAAAACTGACCACATGTAACTGGGAGTGGTGGGTTTTTATATCTTCTTGTGCTTTTGAGATTGTTTCCTGTTCCTGTGGCATGAACTTTGGCCTGAGCTTTTGAGTGTATCCTTTTTAGTATTGGTGGGTTAATCCTATTATGTCCTGAAGGTCATGTTTTCAGAGTTTGGGTGGGGTATGTAGATTTTAGGGGTCTTTGTCTTTCTAATCTCATTACCTTCTAGCTTTCTGGCTCCAACTTTCCTGAAAGGATTATCAAATTTGCATTTCTGCAGAGCTGGCCTCTGGCTAGGTTTCTGGCTGGGGGATGGGGAAGGAGAAGTTTCTGCCTTTTTAAGATCTTCTCCATTATTCCTTTGGGAAAATATAATATTCTGCCTTTTTAATATCCCCCAAAATATTTATTTCTCTGGGGGGTGCTGTCTTCCCACAATATTGTATGCGATAAGCAGCACAACAATGGAATACATAATACATATATTGTTCAGTAACTCAAACTAAGAATTCTTTACTTTTTTTTCTTTACCATACTACTGAGGATTAAAGATGTGTGTAATTTGTTTAAAGTATTTTACGTTGGGTTTTAATTAATCGTTATATTTAAATAGTTAATGGTGTTAATAATTTTATACTTGACTACTATGAGAATTATCACATGCATGCATTTTTCTCACTTTTTTCAGCATTTTCCATGTTGGAAAATTTAAACAATCTGTATTTTCTCCTTGTATAACTTGCATATTTCAAAAGTCTGGATATGACCCAACTAATAGCATGTTCATATGCTGTGGTTTCAAAGATAGCAGCATAGACTTAATTTTCTGGGACATAAAATATCTTAATTTCTAATGAAACATTTGCACTTTCAACTTATTTGTGCAGTTGAAAATTATTGATCCTAGAAGCTTTGGATAAAGAAAGAAATGAACTGATTAAGGCTGGAACTAATTGTATAACTTAGAAAAAGGTAATGACTAGACATTCCTGTATTGTTTCTAAGAAAACTGTAGAGATGTGTTTGTGTAGTCACCAGCAGTCATGCTGAACAATAAATATTGGAATGATTGGCTGTGTTTGAGATTATTTTACTATTATTTATTTTCATATTACCTTTTCTCATGAAGGTACCCAGAGAAGTGGGGAAGGGGAAGAAAAAAAAGAAGAGCTCTTTTTAATATTCTATGCATGTCAAATTTAATAAGGGTTGCGATATGTTTACAAAAGCAGAATAGGAAATGAAAGAGACCTGATGGATGGATGGATCTAGGCTAACCTAGATGTACGCCACCTTTCGTAAATCATTTCTGGACTTCATACCTCTCAAATTGCAGGTGGGCTGTATACTGTACCCTTTGGGCCATGTGACTAAGAAAGGTGGTACTTCC